TATTTGCTGTACGCGGGCCTCTCACTGTTGTGGCCTCTCCCGTTGCGGAGCACAGGCTCCGGATGCGCAGGCTCAGCGGCCATGGCTCACAGGCCCAGCCGCTCCGCGGCATGTGGGATCCTCCCGGACCGGGGCAGGAACCCACGTCCCCTGCATTGGCAGGCGGACTCTCAACCACTGCGCCACCAGGGGAGCCCCGGGGGTATATTTTGAAATTGCTTTTTGTTTTGAGTACCTTCACTGGGGGTAAGTCTTTGTCTTTGGAGGGGAGATTTAATTTCTACAAATACCCTAAAGTCATTCAGTGCTAAATCCAATTAATAAAATAAATAATGAAGGTGAATAACAGTTTACAGTGAAGAGGTAGAACTATTAGTTAAGGAATAAGATTTTCCTACATGTGTGGAAACTATGTAAGTGTAATCTCAAAAGAATTTCAAAATTGAGCGGTAACCACAGACCTCATTTGGTTGTGTAAGTTGTGGTAGGTACGTTAACTCACTCAGTGTGAACCAGCTGGCTGGGGGGAGAGCGAGCACAGTACAGGGCCACAGGGTCCTAACCATGCTGTAGCTCACCCTCCGCTGTAGCTCTACTGCTCGCTACTACTAGGTGTTTGTCCTCAGACTAGACATTTAATGTTTCTGAGCCTCGGTTTCCTCATTTATAAAATGGGAAACCACAGTCCCATATCATAGGATCGTGTGCATATTAAATGAGGAAGTGAATAAAAAATGTGACACATTTGTCTACTAATTATGAATATTAATAATTATGAATATTAATAATTCTTACTATTGCTTGTGGGTTGTCTTATGGCATTAACTTACAGCCATGGTAAAGAAACAAAGGTTCTCAGGGACTTCTCTGGTGGTCCAGTGGCTAAGGCTCCATGCTCCCAATGCAGGGTGCCCAGGTTTGATCCTGGTCAGGGAACTAGATCCCACGTGCTGCAACTAAGAGTTCACATGCTGCAACTAAAGATCCCGCATGCCGCGACTAAGACCCAGCACAGCCATAATAACTAAATAAATAAACAAATAAATAAGAAAGCAAGGTTCTCAAGATTCCTTAGAGACCAGTAATCACAGTGATATAGTAGGAGCTCAATAAATGGTTACTATTATTCTTACTGAAGTATTATTAGACATAATTTTGCTGTAATGGGATGGATCTTAGTTCATCTTTGCTATCTTTAAAACTTTTATTTCTGTGGTTTGATGTAACATTCTCGTGAAACAGAACTTGAATTTGGTTTCTTGAAGGCATTTTATCACTGAAAAAGTATCCTGTATCATGTAACTCACTGTGTCCCATGCAGCCAAGTGACAGTGTTCCTATTTGGGATCACCATTCTGTCCCTCCAGTTCTATGTTCTGCTGAAGTAAGTTCTTTATCCAGCCAACCCCCTCCCCTGGCAGCTCAGCATGCACGTCTTACCTGTGGAGATGGCTCGGGTGCCCTCTGCCATTCCTGTTATGTGTTTAATTGCAGCCTGCCCCATTGTTTTGCCCCTATTATCAATGGTAGTCACCTGTTTCACCTCTTTGAAGAGTCAAAAATCTCAGTACAGCCAGGAGAGCTGGGATTTGGGCAGATTGAGTTTAACTTTTAGTCAACAGTTATTTCTTCTAGTATAAGAAGTCGTCAAATGGGAAACAACGAGAGCACCGACGTTTCAATTTATAAATTCCCTAGAGAGCAGTCCCAACAGCCTAGCATTAGCTAACTTCTGCAAGGCTGAGGGTGACACAGGCACACTCAACCAGATTATGACTTGACCTGTTATTTCAGATTCTATGCTGGAAAGTAGTTTTGGCTGAAAAAGGCAGTTAATACCTTTTTCGGGCAAACGAGGCAAATGCAATTTGATACATTCAAAATCAACTGCAGTTCTAAAAATCCTAAAAAAAAAATCTGAAAACTTAAGTGATGGGGAAGGAATGGAAACCGTGACACTCCTTGTAATTAGCCTAACTCAAACTTGCCAGCTTCTACTATAAGAGGTTTGTGTGTGGTAGGGCATATCTCCTTACTCCAGAATTTCCACAAAATGCTTTTTCACCAAAATATCAAATTAACATGAATTAGAAAAATGGTAAACATTATTTGTCCACCAATTAAGATATTAGTAACTCTTAATAATATTTTTATTAATGCTAGCATTAATTAATTTGCAGTCACAGTAAAGGAACCAAGGTTCTTAAGAGGAGTGAGTTGCCTGGAGCCAAATGAACCTAGTGCCACAATTAGAATTCAAGGGTCAGGGCCTTCTGGTGTTACACTAACAGCGTGGATTTCTCTAATAAGTAATCAATTTATGTATGACCCAGGGTATTGATTTTTAGGCCCAGATCTTCTCGATACTGCAGTCAACCTCTCCTCACCAACCTGGTTGGTAATATCATCTTTACTTTCTTCACAATTGGTAAGTGTGCAGTCATTCTGTCAGGCACTTTTAAGTGTCTACTATTTGCCAGACACTACTAGAATAAAAACGGGTAGAATAGGACTTCTTGCTCTTCAAGAGCTCAAAGACCGAAACCTAAGAAGAAATTCACATTTAGAATTCAGGTGAAGGGAATTCTTCTTTTTGGTTTTGGTTTTTGGCCATGCTGCATGGCAGGCGGGATCTTAGTACCCCAACCAGGGATCGAACCCGTGCCCCACTGCAGTGGAAGGACAGAATCTTAACCACTGGACCGCCAGAGAAGTCCCTGAAGTGAATTCTTAAAAAGTTCCTTAGTATCTCTTTTAGTCATCCTACAACTTGAATATGAACCCAAATTAAATTAAATACTAATGTTTTGTTTTGATGTTATAAAATTCTTTACAGTTATAAAAATATCAGATTTATCCACTCATTCAATAAATAGTTACTAAGGAGACGATATAGGTAGAAAAACAGGGACCTCAACTAATTGAAGTCAAAAAATGATACAGAAGAGTTGGACTCTGAAATGTGCTGAAGTTTTAGGAATACCTTAAACTAGTATATTTTACTTGTATTTTCCTTTGTATGTACTTTTAAGAGTGATGTGAACTTTAAATTAAGACTATGTCTAAATTTTTATAAAATGAAAAAAGTTATTGGATGCCTTAACATGGTTCTAGAAAGAGTCTCCAGAGAATTCCCTGGTGGGAGGCCAGCTCAAACAGTAATCCCACAACAGCAGGAGCTACTTCTTCTCTCTGACCTTCCTTGCCCTCATTTCTAAAATGGAGATAAAAATACCTGCTTCACAGTTTTGCTGTAAGGTTTAAATGAAATAATGGGGGAATTAAAAAAAAAAACTGTCACAGTTATTATCACTAGCATTGCCGATAGTAAGCACATGACCTCGATCAAAGGAAAACCTTAGCCTGGCTAGGTTTTGAGCACTTTTGTTCCACAATAGATACATGAGGAAACACCTTCTATTTAGGGTCTGCATTCAAGAGTATACTTCTGAATGAAATAATGCCATTTTGCAGCAACTATATGATATCACTTATATGTGGAATCTAAAATATGATACAAATGAGTCTATCTACAAAACAGAAACAGGCTCACAGACATACAGAACAGACTGTGGTTGCCAAGGAGAAGGGGGAGTGGGGGAGGGAAGGACTGGCAGTTTGGGGTTAGCAGATGCAAACTATTATATATAGGATGGATCAACAACAAGGAACTATAATCAATATCCTGTGATAAACCATAATGGAAATGAACTTGAAACAAATATAGGTATAACTGACTCACTTTGCTATACAGTAGAAATTAACAAGACATTGTAAATCAACTATACTTCAATAAAAAAAAAAGAGAAATGTATTTCTGAGATAATTCAACCCAGTAAACTGAGGCTGTTCTGCTGTCCTTTTAGGTTTTACCGTGCTGCTTACTCAGATGGAACCGGTCCCACAGGCACTAAAGAGGATGTTTTCTGTATTTGGTGTGGGGTCCTTCAGTGAAGGAGTCTGCACCATAGTGTTAACATTTTTGGCAACCGACTGTGTACGTTTTTAAATACTGAATTTCCAAAGGCTCATCTTAACCTGAAAGCTTGGCTGTATACAGTGCACCATTAGTCCTCAACATTTATTTTCTACTTACACTAAGAATAGAGATGGAGAGATAGAACTCCTCAGTAGACACATCACAGTTAAAACATTTCAACGGGGAAAGTTTAAAAATTCCATGAGAGATTTCTCTTTTTGTAGAGTGAAGTCTGCTTTACTAGAATTAAAAAAAAAAAGTTAAGACATTAATCAACAGTGGTAGGAACTGCTGGACGGGGTTGGCACATTAAGCAGCGAGCTTTCCATCTCCCGCTAAGTTGGTGCCTTTGTTTAAACCCTTTCAGCAAAAACATTTAAAATATGTATTGCAATTAAAAGACAAGTATTCCTAACAGTTCTTTCTTCCTCCCAAATATAGGAAAAAAGGACTCCTGAACTTTACTACTTGTCTGTGATGCTTTCAGTAAGCAGCGTGGTTTCTACAGGTAAGCAAAAACTTCCCAAGTAACCCATACCTATTTAAAGGCTTAACCAGTCCTTCAAGGGAAGTAAATGCTCAGGTAGGATTCTTACATTGCAAGGGGAACGTATAGCTCCTCTTAAGGCAGGAGCTCCAAGAAGCTGCAGAGTTTTAAAAGCAAAGAAAAAGCAGAGAGGGTTAGAATGGGGTATAAAAAGCCATCCTTCTCACATTATTTCCACTCCATTTAATTAGATCCCATTCTTTATCCTACAGTGTTTTGCTCAAGCCTGGGGCTGACTTGGCTGGCCAGTGTAACCTGTCAAAGGCCAGATGCTAAATCAACAGTCTGAAGCTGACATCTGAGCCTTGCTGGTCCCCTGCCTTAGATATATGTCTTGGCAGGTTGAGCCTTTTCCAGCAGCCTTGTCATCTGACTACTGCCAGCAAACATGTGACCATCTCCACCCTGCCACTCCTAGACGAAGTGGGGTCAGCTGAACATCAGACCCACGACAACAAGAAGCACAGCAAAACCAGTCACTGGGAAGAAATTTGTCAGGTGACAAGATTAATGAGCACTGACAATGGATAAAAAGGAATCGTTCAACCAAAATCACTGGGTCGATATCACAAGCAAATTCAGCCCCAGTAAGGATCTCCTATTAGATACTTTGAAGATCATTAGTACTTTGACTTTCTGAACCTCCTTTTCTGTTTCAGTGAAGTTAGTAGCATCAGCTGGATGGCCACTATAAAAGTACTGAGAAGGAAAAAGAAAAATATAGATCTTAGTAATGAACAAAGGTCTAGTTTCAAAAGAATACAGTGATCCAGAGTGTATATTTGAACAAGGTCAATCTATCACTTCTTTAAAAGTGCAGCGGGAGATTTTAGAGTAAAACTCATCACGATCTCCCCTACCTGGGCTACACCAATCTCTTGCATCATGACAGTCAACTGCTGTCTAGAGAAAAGAGCCAACTGACCTGCATGATGTTGTCTTTTGACTTGTTCTGTGTGTATGCACAGATTCTGAGGGATTTTAAGTAGTAGCTAGATACTCACAGATGCTCTCAAAGTCTTTAGTAAGTGGAGATAATGCCATTTCTCGAGGGGAAGAACAGTATCTCTTGGCAGAAGGAACAAGTTTAATACAAACATCTCGCAACACATCTATGACAGACACAGATCTTCACAAATGGGAATGATTGTTTTCCATCTGTTTCTCTGTTCAGGTGATACTTGCTGCAGGGGAAGTTACCCACCAACACACTATCCATCCACCACACTGACATTTTCTGAGCACCTTTCACATTCCAGACATAGCGCTAAAACTTAGGAGTTAGAAACGCGAGTAACTCATAGGTTAACAGTGAAATCCCCTGAAATAATTCTTTTACTATGGGTAACAGAAACTATTTAAAAGTAACACAGCCTTTTACATTCTCTAGACCTCATTAACCAAATATCAACATGTCAGATGAATGTCAACTTATCTCAAGATAGGATTTTTATCAGAAGTTTCTTTTTTTCTGAACTATCTTGCCCCGCACCCCCAAACCTGATCTACTTGAAGATCTCAGCTGATGACAAACCCATCCTTCCAGTTGCTATAGTCAAGTACCTCAAATCATCCTAAACGCATTGTTTTTCTTTTCCCATACCCCATCAGGAAGTCCTAATGGCTTCACCTTCAAAATACATACAGAGTCCAACAATTTTTCTCTAGTTGGAAATTTTAAACTGACTTTTTCTAAATGCAAGAGGCTGCTTCTTAAGACCAAGGCTTCTTGGTACTTCTTTTTTTAAAAACTAATTTATTCATTTGGTTGCTCCGGGTCTTAGTAGCAGCAGGCGGGCTTGCAGGCTCCTTAGTTGCAGCACATGTGCTCCTTAGTTGTGGCTCCAGGGCTCCTTAGTTGCGGCACACGGGTCCCTTAGTTGTGGCATGTGAACTCTTAGTTGCAGTATGCATGTGGGACCTAGTTCCCTGACCAGGGATCGAACCCGGGCCCCCAGCATTGGGAGCGTGGAGTCTAACCCACTGCGTCACCAGGGAAGTCCCTGCTTGGTACTTCTGTGTCTTGAAATTATGCAACATTCTTAACGTAACTCCAGAAAACGGAATTCTGTTTCTTAATTGATAAGCATAACTTGAAGCAAAATTTAACCAGCACCTTAACCCATAACCTATAAAACTGAATTTTCATGCACATTTATGCTGTTATCATTTCCTCCAAAACCAAGTCACCAGAGTTAATTTCATTAAGAAACGTTTATTTTATGCTACCAATATCGTATGAAATACAAGGCATGCTCTTTCTCCACACAGGTGAAAAGTATAAAATTCTAAAACTGCTATTTTTTAGCCCCTCATAACTTAGACAGCCATGATCAGCAATCGTCCCTCACAGACTGACAACACTTTCTGCTATAACCCATGTTTGCTCCGAGTGGAAAACTTTTGCTGAGCAACTTCATGGGGGATGCTTTGTTTTAGCGGTTCTCAATCTGCGACCTGGGCTTCAGAGGTACAAAGTCTCTGAAGTTGTAAGCAAAATGTTGGGCATGTGCACCTATGAGCAACTTTCTGGGAGAATGTAAAAGGAAGTCTGAGAAAATAAAAACATTAAGCATTACACTCATTAAATTTACTATAAGAAAAAAAATACTTGATGTTTGACATCCACTACTCTCCATTTAAAATTTAAAAAACAGGGCTTCCCTGGTGGTGCAGTGGTTGAGAGTCCGCCTGCCGATGCAGGGGACACGGGTTCGTGCCCCGGTCCGGGAAGATCCCACATGCCGCGGAGAGGCTGGCCCGTGAGCCACGGCCACTGAGCCTGCGTGTCTGGAGCCTGGGCCCCGAAAGGGAAAAGCAAAAAAAGGGAGAGGCCCCCACACCCAAAAAAAAAAAAAAAAAAAAAAAATTAAAGTTAGTCTTCACACTACTTTTTCCACAGCTGCTAAACCCTAGAAGTGAAAACTTTCTAATTACTAATTGAATTGAATTGAATATTGAATTTCTAAATGCTCATCTAATCTGAGAGCTTGGGTATATTCAATATACCATTAGTCTTCAATATATACTTTCTACTTAGATTAAAATTAAAGATATGTAAAAATGGAATTCCTAATTAGACATATGTCATAGTTAAACATTTCACTGGAGAAAGGTCAAAAAATTCCACAAAGAATTCTCTTCCTTTTTCTACTTTACTATAATTTTTTCTAAGTTAATATGGAACTGTTGGAAGATTGTTTTAGGGTGTCCCCATGCTCAGAGTTCGGATTTTATCCTGTAGGGAATGGGGATGTTTTAGAGGGCTTAAATAGGGAGTAATATATCAGTGCACTTTAGAAATAATTCTCAGGACTTCCCTGGTGGCACAGTGGTTAAGAATCCGCCTGCCAAGGCAGGGGACGTGGGGTTGAGCCCTGGTCCGGGAAGATCCCACATGCTGCAAGCAATGAAGCCCATGCGCCACAACTACCGAGCCTGCGCTCTAGGGCCCGTGAGCCACAACTACTGAGCCCATGTGCCACAACTACTGAAGCCCACGTGCCTAGAGCCCATGCTCCGCAACAAAAGAAGCCACGGCTCACTGCAACTAGAGAAAGCCCACACGCAGCAACAAAGACCCAACAGTCAAAAATAAAAATAAATAAATAACTTTATTTTTAAAAAATGCATTCGTATAATGGCATATTAAATAATGGGGCTATGAGTAAAACAAAGTAAGGCAAGAGGATAAGGAGTGTTGGAATTCTAAATAGGGTGGTCAGGAAAGGCCTCACCATGTGACATTTGAGCAAAGAATTAAAGGAGACAAGGGAGTGAGCCATGCAGACACCTAAAGGAAAAATGTTCTAAGCAAAGGAAACAATGCAAAAGCCCTGAGGCAGAAGCAGGCCTGCCCAGTTCCAGGATCTCCAGCGAGATCAGAAGGGCTGAGCAGGAGTTAACAGAGGGAAGGAGTTTTGGTAGATGTCATCAGCGGTAAAAGGGAGCCACTGCAGGGTTTCTGAGCAGAGGAGTGACATGACCAAACATATTTTCAAAGGATCTCTCTGGCTGCTAAAGCCGACAACAGAATGTAGGGGGAACAGGGTGGAAGAAAGGAGACCAGATGGGAAGGTACTGCTGTAACCCGGGTGAGAGATGATGCTGACATGGACCAGGGTGGTAGCAGTGGAAGTGGTGAGAAGTCATTCGATTCTAGATATATTATAAAGGTAGAGCCAATGTGATTTGCTGATGGATGGAATGTGTGCTGCGAGAGAAAGAGGAGTCAAGAATGACTCCAAAAATTTTTGGCTTAAGCAACTAAAAAACTAGAGTTACCTTTAACTGAGAAGAGAAAGGTGGTCATGGAATAGGTTTAGGGGAGAAGATCAGTAGTTCAGCTTATAAAGAAGTTAAGTTTGGGATGTCTATTAAATATGCAAACAGTGGTGTTAAGTAGGTAACGCAGAACAGAGCCCAGGTCAGGGGAGAGGACAAGAGATTTACTAGATTTGCGGTCATCTGCATATAGATGGTATTTAAAGTCGTAAGACTGGATGACATTACCAAGAGACTGAGACAGAATGCAACAGCAGTGTGGGCATCACCGGGGAACTGGTTAGAAATACACAACCACAGGCCCTACCCTAGGTCTACTGAATCAAAATTTGCATCTTAACAAGATCCCCAGGTGATGTGTATACATCTTAAAGTTTGTAAAGCTCCACTGGTCCAGGTGAGAGATAATGAAGGGTAATAACAGTAGGGATGGTGTCAAGGGTTTACAAGTAGATGAGCTGAGTGAATGGAGGAGGGAAGGAGGTGAAGGGAGATTTCTGACTTAAGAGACCACTTAGATGGTGTGCCGAGAGTCAACAGAGAGTATTAGGGGAAGCACAGGTTGGGAGGTATGAAGGGAAAGCATAAAGAGACACACTACGGTTTTAAAGGTGCTGCTGAACTTGAGGTATACACAGGACATCCGAGTAGGGAGATCTAGTAGGTAGACAGAAAAAGAGAGAGACTAGAACCTGGCAGTAAAACCCAAAGACACTAAAGACTACCTTCAAGGAGATATCACGGTTAAAAGAAGGCTGTTTATTTTATTTGATTTTTTTTTTGAAGAACAGAATTAGAATGTTGGTTGGTTGAGGGAAAAGCACAATTAGGAAGCCACACAGCCTGCAAGAAAGCTAATAATTCATGGAGAAAAGTCCCTAAGGAGGCCACAAAGAAAGGATTTTTTTTTTAAGAAAGGATTTTAGGTACAAATTAAGAGCATAGCTTAAAAATAATGAGGAGAAATGAAAACATACATCTACACAAAGAATTGTATGGTTTGGCTTTATACGTAATAGCCAAAAGCTGGAAACAACTCAAATGTTAATCAAGAAATGAATGAATGAATGAAGTTTATTATTAGCTCAAATAATGGAATACTACTGAGCAATAAAAAGGAAGAAACTACTGATACAAATAACATGGATGAATCTGAAGAGACATTATTTTGAGTGAAAGAAGCCAGATACAAAAAAGAACACGCTATATGATTCCAGTTATATGAAATTCTAGAAAAGAATTTATAATGACAGAAGACAGATCAGTGGTTGCCTGGGGCGGGGGAAACTGACAACAGAAGGGCAGAAAGCTTCAGGGTTCCTGCTATGGAATCCTTATTTTTTCTCCTGTGCTCTTCACTGAATGGCAATACATTCACCCATTCTCTTTGGATGGGCTTGTTTCTCAAAAATAAATATCCAGTTATACTAATGTAACTATAATGATGGTGACAACTATAACAGTAACATTCGTTGAGTTCTTCCTGTGTGCCAAGCAATATACTAAGCACTCACGTGATCCTTACAACACTCCAATGAAGTAGGTACTATTATTCTTTTTCCCTAGCATATGAGGAAACTTAAGCTGAAAGAGGTTGATTAACTTGTTCAAGATCTCACAGCCTGTGTAACAACCTTGACTCTAAAAGTTCATGCTCTTAACCGTTACACAAGATTTACAATGGTACGTTATCTACTCGTAGACATTAGAAAGAGGTCCACGCATTCAGAGTGCCTTTGGCTCATGGTACTTCTTTTTTTTTTTAGATGTTGGGGGTAGGAGTTTATTAATTAATTTATTTATTTTTGCTGTGTTGCGTCTTCGTTTCTGTGTGAGGGCTTTCTCTAGTTGTGGCAAGCGGGGGCCACTCTTCATCGCGGTGCGCGGGCCTCTCACTATCGCGGCCTCTCTCGTTGCGGAGCACGGGCTCCAGACGCGCAGGCTCAGTAGTTGTGGCTCACGGGCCTAGTTGCTCCGCGGCACGTGGGATCCTCCCAGACCAGGGCTCGAACCTGTGTCCCCTGCATTAGCAGGCAGACTCTCAACCACTGTGCCACCAGGGAAGCCCCATGGTACTTCTTATTAGCCACTCAAGTTTCATCTGCCCCTGCATATTCCCTACCTAGTTGGAGCAGCTAGTGCTCTCTGGACTCCCATCCCAAGTCCAAGTTGAGGTGTCCTAAACCTTCCCAGCTGCCAAGTAGTATTTATCTGGTTTTCCAGTTATGACTCCCAGTTCTGAGGTTTTCTTCCCCAATGCTCTCTCCTGTGACTACCTACCTAACATTCATTCACCTTTTCCCAACATCTTCTCTTCCCTATTTCCCCTCCAGGTTTGTATTCTATTTTTGTTTGAGAACTGGAACCCAAACCAATTTCTCTTGTCTATGCACTAGGAATACTTTTTCATTGTCCATTAGCTCTAAAGAGAACTCAAAGGTATGTAAGAATACTCTCAGCATAGAACCGCTGAATCAGATTGTCACCGAGAAACAGCACGCAAATACAACGCACGTATGGTGAGGCCTTTCCTCCACCACTTCTAAGACTGTACACACTAAAACCAACATAAATGCCTAAATAGAACACCTTATTATCATCATCAAAATTAGGGGATGAACACAGTGAGAAAATGTTTATTCAGCAAGTTCTTCCAATGATGAAAGAAGTATATTTTCCAGTTTTGTTTTGTGTGGCACTGGCCCTAACTATTTGTCATTGAGAGTTCGATATTCCACAAAAACGTTGACGCTTCCACACATATTCACATGTCAAAAATTAGAGTTAATTATATTAACATGACAGCCACTTACTTTTACAAAGCAAATTCTGTGAATCTGAAGCGTTTTGCGAGGTAGGCTATTGGAACCATTCCAACTGGTGTGTCAACAGTCTTCTCTAAGTTGGACTTATTAGAGTGGTTTCACATGCAAATTGTAACTCTGAGAAACAATTTACGGTGATAAATTAAGACATTCTATGATTGGACAAACAATTCATTCTGGTGGAGTTCTACGGTAATCTTGGAAGTTTGTCCTGGGTGGCTGAAATATAATTAACTTTAAAGACAACACCTGAGAAACAATTTCGCCGTAAACCCTGATGTCGTCTTGTGGACTAATGACTTCAAGGAGATGGGCTGGGAACATGTGAAAATGTTTTAATTTTCTGAGTAACTTCTAGACTGTTGCCAACAGCTAGCAGTCTCTCCTCAAGAGGAGTGAGTGTCCCGCTTCCAGGAACATGGATCTAGTCTTTTATAGATTTGGAAATTACGGATTTCAGAAAAAAGAAAAGTGCCCCGCCAAGCCCAAGAAGCCTCTAGAAAAGGATTTTTTTTCCCCAGGGTGCACTCACTTGTTCCAGAGGCAAATTTACCGAGGTTTTCGGTTCCACAGAGAGAAACAGAAACAATGAAGGGGCAAGACTCCCTGTTCCAAACTTGAATGTGACCTAGCTTCAGGGACAGTTGTACCTTACCCTCAAAGACCCTAAGCAGTCCTGAGCTGACTCCACCACAGACGGGTTTTTCAAGAGCTCTGGGAGGTGACTTACCTCCTCCTCAGGGCGGACCAGCCCGAGCTCTCCGAGAGACGCTCCGCAGCCCGGACGCTAATGAGGGTAACACCCGCGGCCGCGCCCTCATTGGCTCCAGGAGGCCGGAAGTGCGTGCGTCTGACGGAAGTGCTCCTCTTCTACGCGTCCGCCGAGCGGGGCCCCTCAGGTAGGCGGGGCCCCTGGCTCCGAACTCTGGGACCGAGTGGTGGGTGGAGGCGGAGAAGGGACCCCGAGGGCCTGAGGAGGTGGTTCGGTTTCTGGTCGGGAAAAGCGGAAGAGTTTCGGAGGCAGCGGATTCCCGGCGACCTCTGGTGGCAGTCGGGCCTAGTCGAGCCGGCCGCCGCACGACCCAAATGCGGGAGCTTCGTGTTCCCCGGTGGGAGATGGGATTTGGGGCTGTGATCGGGGCTGCTCCCTGACCGCTGACTCCCTGTCCGGATGGTTGAGGTCCAGACGCTGCTCACTTCCAGCCGGGAAAATGTATGCGCTCCTTTTACGTGGTTTTGGATATGACAACTTCCTTCAAGGCAGATCCGGGTGCGGGGTTTTCCTGAGTAACACTCGGCCTCACTAGAAAAAAACCTCAGAAAGACTGCCAGAGGCACAGTCGCAAGAGAAAACGGGTTTCTCCCCCTCCTCCACACCCCCTCCCGCCCCTATGATGTCGTCCTAGAAGGAGAGGGTGTGTTTCAGTTGCAGGCTGCCCAAGTGGCAGTTACTGGGACTGCTTTAGGTATACGTTTATGTATAGTAAATAAAACCACTTTTTAATGGTTTCCCTTTTCCCAGCCAGCTCCACCCCCAGGTGGTTTGAACTTTGAGCCTCTTATAGTCCTGATGAACAGTTTCGCTTTCCTCAAGTTTAAGACACTTGGAACTTCAAGAATTGGAGGTTTATGCAATTTGAGACCGGTCCGCACTGAGCAGAGTTCAGAGGATTAAGAGACAGGTGAGCATGAATGAGTACCTTAATTCTCAAAAATTAAGTTTTTGGGCTTCCCTGGTGGCGCAGTGGTTAAGAGTCCCCCTGCCGATGCAGGGGACACGGGTTCGTGCCCCGGTCCGGGAAGATCCCACGTGCAGCGGGGCGGCTGGGCCCATGAGCCATGGCCGCTGAGCCTGCGCGTCCGGAGCCTGTGCTCCACAACGGGAGAGGCCACAGCAGTGAGAGGCCCGTGTACTGCAAAAAAAAAAAAAAAAAACTTACAGTTTTTGAAGAATAATTTTGCAGTTTCGGTAAAAGGTGCACCACCTTTATTGAATACTAGGTGGTGCCCATGAGTTAATCTTTCTGGGATAAATCTCAAATAATGTAGCATGAGGGTAAGGTTTTTAAAGCATCTTCATCTTCTCTGAAATTCATTTAGAATAGCTTTACCTCCTTACAGTACGTTGTGCCTTTATACAGTTCATTCAGTTATCGAATATGTAGTCTATTAAGTGCTGAAGAGGCTAAGAAAGGAATCAGACCCATTTCTGCTCTCAGTTTACAGTCTGGAGAGGAAGACAGACAAATAACAAGCTATGATGAAATCACATATAATTCAAGGCAGACATAGTGTTAAATGGAGACTAAGACGTAGAATGCCGTGGCAAAAGCAATCAATTATCATTATTCATTTACCATTTATTTATTCAATACCTTCTATCTGCCCAGCATTGTGCTAGACGCTGGTGTATAAAGAAAATGTAAAATCCTTACTCTCAAATAACTCACAATGTAGTGATTGGGAGGGAACCAAGGAAGGCATTATGGAGAAGGTGAAACTTGACCTTGAAGGATGGATGACTTGGCCTTGATAAGTAGAAGAAAATGCAGGCTCAAAAGAGAAGGATGAGGACTTCCCTGGTGGCGCAGTGGTTAAGAATCCGCCTGCCAATGCAGGGGACACAGGCTCGATCCCTGGTTCAGAAGATCCCATATGGTGCGGAGCAACCAAGCCTGTGCGCCACAACTACTGAGCCTGCACTCTAGAGCCTGCACGCCACAACTACTGAGCCCGAGTGCCTAGAGCCCGTGCTCCGCAACAAGAGAAGCCACCGTAATGAGAAGCCCACGCACCGCAATGAAGAGTAGCCCCCACTCGCCACAACTAGAGTATGCCCGTGCACAGCAACAAAGACCCAACGCAGCAAAAAAAAATAAGTAAAATTTTTTTTTTTTTGCAGTACGCAGGCCTCTCACTGTTGTGGCCTCTCCCGTTGCGGAGCACAGGCTCCGGACGCGCAGGCTCAGTGGTCATGGCTCACAGGCCTAGCCGTTCCGCAGCATGTGGGATCTTCCCGGACCAGGGCACAAACCCGCGTCCCCTGCATCGGCAGGCGGACTCTCAACCACTGCGCCACCACGGAAGCCCTACCCAGTCTTTTTTTTTAAAAAAAAAAAGAGAAGGATGAGCTTCTTCTCTGTCCCTTTAATCTTGCCTCAGGTAGTTTCTTGGCTACTCCTCCCTTGATTAGCAGCTATTCAGAATCCACCCTTTGGAACTCAGGGAAGGTCTCGAAGGCTGGAGTCTTACCTGTAAGAAATGGTGGACAGGGAGTTCCCTGGTGGCACAGTGGTTAAGAACCTGCCTGCCAGTGCAGGGGACACGGGTTCGATCCCTGGTCCAGAAAATCTCACATGCCGAGGAGCAACTAAAGCTGTGTGCCACAACTACGGAGCCTGTGCTCTAGACCCCATGAGCCACAACTACTGAAGCCCGTGCTCCACAATGAAGAGAAGCCACCGCAATGAGAAGCCGGGGAACCCCAACAAAGAGTAGCCCCTGCTCGCAACAACTAGAGAAAGTCGGTGTGCAGCAATGAAGACCCAACACAGCCAAAAATAAATAAATTTTTTTTAAAAAGAAATTGTAATAACAAAAACCTTATTTCTGATATTAACAAAAAATACAAGATATCTAAGAACACCCAGTGTTTAAAGCCTTTGTGAATAAAATAATACTTTTTTTTAAACTAGAGATCATAAAAGAAAGCTTTGATAAGTGGAGAGATATATTGCTTGATTGGAAGTTTCAAATTTTAAGGATACAGATTTTCTCCATATTAATTTTAATGTAACCCCTGTCAAAATTTCAACTGAGGGACTTCCCTGGTGGTACAGTGGTTAAGAATTCGCCTGCCAACGCAGGGGACACTGGTTCGAGCCCTGGTCCGGGAAGATCTCGCCCATGCACTACAGCTACTGAAGCCCGCGTGCCTAGAGCCCATGCTCCACAACAAGAGAAGCCACCGCAGTGAGAAGCCCATGCATTGCAACAAGAGGTAGCCCCTGCTCGCCACAACTAGAGAAAGCCTGCGTGCAGCAACGAAGATCCAATGAAGCCCAAAATAAATCAATAAAATAAAATTAAAAAATTTCAATTGAATTTTTTTTGGAATTTGTCAAAATGATTCTTAAATTCATCTAGAAGGGAAAATGTACAAGTATAGTCAAGAATTTTGGGGAAAAAAAACAATAATAGAGCCAACTCCTTATCAGTCATCAGTATACACCAGCTCTAAAGCTATAATAATTAAAATAGTAAAGTAATGCCTTAGGACCAGAATATTATCAATGAAACAGACTTGAGTCTGTTTCTATTGAGTCTCAATTAAAGGTAGCATAAATAAATACTAGTAAACAGTGTTGGGGCAGTTGGCTATCCATTTGAAAGAAAATAAAAGTTAGATCCCTACTTCACAGCATTAACAAAAAAATAGTATATTTTTGGGAATTCCTTGGCAGTCCAGTGGTTAGGACTTGGTGCTCTCACTGCCATGGGCCCGGGTTCAGTCCCTGGTCAGGGAACTAAGATCCCACAAGCCCCATGGTGCAGCCAAAAACAAAAACAAAATAGTATATTTTAAAAAATCTTGAGATGGTCAGGACTTGCTTTCATGGGACACAAAACTAAGAAAACATAGAGGAGAACATAGGTTTGGCCATTAAAAATAATAATTTACCATAACAAAAAATGCCATAAATAAAATTTAAAGCCAGGAGACAAGAGATAATATTTGCAACATAATTGCAAGGACTTTATATCCATGTTATATAAATCAGTAAGAGAAAGATAATCCAGTAGAAAAATGGGCACATTTCCAAAGAAGAAATTCACATCAAAAGTTGTTCATTGGGTTTCCCTGGTGGCGCAGTGGTTGAGAGTCCGCCTGCCGATGCAGGGGACACGGGTTCGTGACCCGGTCCGGGAGGATCCCACATGCCACGGAGCGGCTGGGCCCGTGAGCCATGGCCGCTGAGCCTGCGCATCCGGAGCCTGTGCTCCGCACCGGGAGAGGCCACATCAGTGGAAGACCCGCGTACCACAAAAAAAAAAAAAAAAAAAGTTGTTCATGCCCACAAGTCATTAGGTAAATGCACCTAAAGACCAATAAGATAATACTAGGAGTATTCTGAGTCCTGGAGTGTACTTATTAAGAATGAAAAAGAATGTTAAAATGAATCTTGTAAAGCAGAGTCACGCCTGATCTGTTTCTTTATAAATCTGTATTTTCATCTATCAAATATGTTTAAAGTAAGATAGACTAATAGTTAAGACTTCTAATTAATTTGTGAATTCAATTAAGAAGACTCCCAGGCATTTTTGTGGGGTGTCACTACTATATGCGTTTCACCTTTTATATATAAATTGAGATTTTTTTTTGCACGACAATCTTCCCCACACCTGTAGCTCAGAAAGAGTATAGCCAATTTTTTTTTGGCTGTACCACGCAGCATGCGGGATCTTAGTTCCTAGACCAAGGATCGAACCAGCACCCCCTGCAGGGTAAGCGCAGAGTCTTAACTACTGTATTGCCAGGGAAGTCCCCACCACTTTTGTGTGTGTGTGTGTGTGTATAGCCTACTTTAAATTGCTTTATTGTTCTACTTAGTAAAATGGCTTCCAGAGGAAAGACAGAGACAAGCAAATTAAAGCAGAACTTAGAAGAACAGTTGGATAGACTAATGCAGCAATT